ACGAGCCTTCTCTCGTTGCCGCTCGAGAGCCTTCATGTATTCCGCTCTCTTGGCATGGTTACGCTCCTCCCGCTTCCACTCTTCTTCCTCCCTTCTCCTCCGCTCGTAATCAGCGGCTAGTTTCTGATCCTTTTCACTAAGGCGCGGCGGTTCAGCGACGGAACCGTCCGCGTTCTTGGTGGGACCGGAGCCGCGGAATTCGTTAATCTTCTCGGTTGCTTCACGCTGGATGTTGTTCTTGTTCTCCTTGAAGGAGTTGACCATGCGGTCAATGAAGCTGATGTTGGCTTCTTGGGAGGCGGCGCTTTGCTTCTGGGCCTCGGCAAGCTTGGCCTGTTGGGCCTTCATGAGATCCTGGAGCATGCGAAGGTCGTTGTTTCGGGCTTCTGCGGCGGCAGGGTCAACCATCTTTTTGGGGATGGCCATGCCTGCGAATTTCCTGAAGCTTTCGTTTTGGACGAGGTACGATTGGCCCAGGGCGAATAGACCTGTCGAGACGAAGTAAAGTTGGAGGGCACTAGGGAAAAAGGCCATGAAAGCGAAACTGATAGCAGGAAGGCCATAAAGGAATGCTTTTCCAAAAGATGAGTTCAACATGTCATTCATGCCAGCCTCTCCACCTTTCTGTATTCATGTCAGCGACCAATCCATCGTATTTAGAGATATCGATAGTAGAACCTACCCGGAGAGTAAGATGCATAAATGTTGCTGAAAGAGCTGGGAGAATAAAGACCGGATCAGCAACAGTAAGGTCTTTCAACCACCCCGCCGCCTCCACAGCCAAGCCCGGGACAGGAAGCGAAGTCATTCCATTAACAACTCGATAGCACCCAAAACCCAGGGGAACCTGGAGGAAAGGAATAAACGACTTGATCGGCTTAATCCCGTGGTCACTCTGCAACTTGCTCATCTCTGCCCGGATCCTGGTTGCTTCCACCATGTTCCCTGCCGTGTTGGTCTGAAGCATTTTCGTGCGGAGAGGGTTGATGATGTGCTTGATGTTCTGCATCCTGGCAGCCGTGTCGGACGCACCCAGCATGGGGTAAAGTAATGCCAGACGGACCAAAAGACCTGTTCCCACGATACTCGCCCACCACGGCAGACCTGACCAGATGTGAATATGCTCGATAACCCATTCGATCATTGACGATGGACCCCAGCCATAATCTAACCCAAGCTGCTTTAGGTATCCCATGTGTTCGGGGATTGCGTCGATGTCCGATAGCGACAAGCCGGAGATGTCACCAGCTTCCGTTTGAGCGGCCTGATCAGCAGCACCTTCGCTGGCAGTCGTGCCAGAAGCAACGGATGCGGTTGACGAGGTCGAGTTGAAACGAGCGGCCATTATCGGTCCAGGAACAACGGAAGGTGTAGCTCTCCGTGTGAGACCACCTGTGAGTGTCTGATTGATTCGTCCATATCCACCATAAGCGCTCTGCAACCGAAATGTCGATATCTGTAAGAAACGAACGACTCTCTATCGTTAGTCCCTCCCAATTTCTCATGTCAGAGAATCAATTCCCGGGGACTAACCGAACGACTAGAGCGTGGGACAGTCAATCGCTGCCGGGCAATGGCAGGCATTGCGCCACGCCCTTTTAAACCGGCGCCTCCCAACATTGTAACAACTTGACGGCGCACAAACCGGAACGAAAGACAACAGCCAGGATACTTTTCGGAGTGGAGTGGAAACGGGCAGGCGGGCAACCAACTGAATGCTTCCCGCCGTCTTTTTTTTGGATGTTTTCTGCCGGGCGGAGAGAGGGCTGTACGGGGACCGATAAGAACCATGGCGCATTATAAACAATGCACTGTTACTATTCTACTTGAAGATACTGAGAATAGCGTGGATGTTTGTGACTTGTATTTGCAATGTGCGGTCGTAAGATCACAACGGTATGCCAATTCAAATTCAAAAGAGTGTTTCGCCAAACGCCGTCTGGGGTTCTGGAACCTATGTACACAAAAGACAAAGTCCACGCGCACTTAGCGCACGGTTTAGGGGTGGAAAACCAGGCAGAGGTTGAAAAAGCTCCGGGGTGTAATCATGCAGTGCTGGGCAAGCGATGTAAAATCGGGGAAGGGGTTCAGAGGGAAGAGGGGCAAAAGGACAGAGTTACTGTATGTAGCTGTTTATTCCAAGGATGTGGTGTCCCTCAAGCCCCTCCTCGAGGAAACATCGCGGACTTCAATACCAGGGCCAACGGATCTCCGGTAGGTTGGGAAGACCTGCGCGGAGTCATTACATTAGCATCCTGCAACGATTAGGGATTTTGGCGATGACAGTACCTTGGTGTTGGCCCAGCCAAGTCTGAAAGCAGCCTCATGCGCAAACAGTTCTCCAAAGCCCAGCATCAATCCGTTCACAAAGGGAAGCACCAGGTTGATTGCGGCACCTCGCAGGACACTCCAGAATGTTGGGGGCTTGTAAAGGAGCACAGGCGAGGTGGACGTCGAGTGAACAGACGATACCAGCTCGTTTGGCGCAGAGTAGTTTTCCGAGTCCGATGGGATGGTCAGGCCGGACTCGTAGAGCTCCTTGGGGCCGGCGTGGGCGTCGGATGCCATGATGCGGGGGGGATCGACCAGGGGAAATGGGAAGGACGAGTCGAGATGAGGAGAGTTGGAAATTTTGAAGATGATGCTGTATTTAACAAGATCTCCGGATTTCAGATCGATAGTTCAAATGTAGAACTGAGGTATGGGTGTTTAGCCGTAGAGGTTGTTCAACGTTGTTGGTTGGTGTTGATTTGCGGCACTGTATGGCGTTATGTAAGCAGGTGTTGTTCCTGGCAAATTCGATAGCAACCAAAGCTCTCAATCCTGCTTGCAATCTGTCAAGGAGTAGTCTAGTTAATTGATTGTCAAATATAACTTCACATAACGTGACCCACATGCGAATGTCACACACGGGCGAATGTCACACAAAATTGCTCCGACGTGACTTCTGACTTCTATCACAAATATCACCACAACCAAATATGCGTCAGAAAAATGATGAAAGCCAAGTAATATTGGCCCTTCAAGCTATGCAAAATGACAAAAAACTGAGCGCTCGAGCAGCTGGAAAGATCTATCACGTGGATCATGAGAAGCTTAGTCGCCGCCGGCGTGGCATGCAATCACGATGCAATATATCAGCCAATTCACGAAGGCTCACTGATTTAGAGGAATCAATGATTGTTGAACACATACTTGATCTAGATTCCAAAGGGTTTTCTCCTCGGTTGTCTGGTGTGGAAGATATGGCCAACCAATTACTTGCAACACGCAACATGGGATGTGTTGGTGTAAACTGGGCCAGCACCTTTGTTAAACGGCACCCAGAGCTCACAACTCGTTTTAGTCGGAAATATGACTATCAGAGAGCTTTATGTGAAGATCCAGAGGCTATCCATTGTTGGTTCATGCTTGTTCAAAACATAATCGCGAAGTACGGCATCCAGGAAGCAGATATTTATAACTTTGATGAAACTGGGTTTCAGATGGGAGTGATCTCAACTACAATGGTTGTCACAAGCTCCGAACGACATGGAAAGGCAAAAATAAAACAGCCAGGCAATCGTGAATGGGTCACGGTGATCCAGGGAGTTAATGCTCATGGCTGGGCGATCCCGCCATACATCATTGTCAAGGGTCAATATCACCTTCTTTCTTGGTATCAGAATAGCCAACTACCAATGGATTGGGTTATCGGTACATCCGAAAACGGTTGGATAACGAATGAACTTGGCTTGGAATGGATTAAGCACTTTGATGAATATACAAAAGCCCGAACAATTGGTTGTTACTGTCTCCTGATTCTTGATGGCCATGCAAGTCACCACTCAACTGACTTTGAGCTTTATTGCAAAGATAATAAGATTATTACACTTTGCATGCCTGCGCATTCATCCCATATCCTCCAGCCTCTTGATGTTGGATACTTTAGTCCCTTGAAGATTGCTTATGGTAAGCATATTGAAGGGCTTATGCGGGCGCGTGTCACCCATATCACTAAAGAAGATTTCTTTCCTGCATTTTACACCGCATACCAAGCCACCATGACAGAAAAAAATATCAAAGGTGGCTTTCAAGGGGCTGGCCTTATCCCTTTTAACCCTGAAAGGGTAATATCTAAGCTTGATGTCCAATTTAAAACGCCAACACCGTCGAATTCGCGGCCGACTAGTTCCCATAGCTGGGTTTCTAAAACACCAAATAACCCAATTGAGGCGTCATCCCAGACAAACCTTATCAAAAACCGAATCTCTCGTCACCAAGATAGCTCTCCATCATCAATTCTGAATGCTGTTGACATCCTCGCGAAAGGCACAACGAAGATAATGCATAAGATGGATTTGATGGAAGCAGAGATTCGTGAACTTCGGGCGGCAAATGAGGCCCTTAGCAAACGCCGGAGGGCTAAAAAAACACGTCTAAGGAAAGGAGGGTCACTTTCTATACAGGAAGCTCAAGAATTAGGGGATCAAATGGAGGTTGAGGTACAACTGAAGGAGGAAACATGCAATGGGGCTGGTCAGCAACTGCGGACCGAGACACGCGCACGGCGCTGTGGCAATTGCGGAAAAGCTGGACACAATGCACGTTCCTGTCAGATAGTAGTAGAGATGTCTGAGGAAGGCGATTATGGGTAATTTTAATGGAATTTATGTGCGTTGGTGGAAATATTGGGGTTAAAGTCGCGGCGGAGCGATTTTGTGTGACATTCGCCCGTGTGTGACATTCGCATGTGGGTCACGTTATCTTCTAGTTGTCGTCAATAGACTGTATTTGGGAGGATAGACACCCCAGGCACTTCGGAACATAGTCCCACCGGATGACCAATCAGGCAGCATGACGTACAGGCAGGCAGCTGCAGCAAATAGAACAAACAGCTTTCACCTTCTGCATTACCAACTTCGTCTTGATTTGTCCTTACTTTTTCTACGGGATAGAGGCGTGTTATATCAGCATTGAGAATCTACAACCAGCTAGACTTGCGATACCCAGACGTCAACATGGAGAATAACCCCGCAAATCACGATGAGGCCGTTTCGCAGTTCTGTTCGCTGACCGGTCTTCAGCCCTCCGAGGTAGGCTTCGCTCTAAGGATACCATGCGATAAACACGGCTAACTCTGGCCGCTTTAGGCCCAGGAATACCTCGCGGCTAATGGGTGGGATATCGAGGCGGCAGTGACCGAGTACTTCGCGGAACAAGACGAAGCTTTGCAAGACGCACATACAGGTGGGCAGCATTTTGGTGCCGGGGAGGGATCTGCTGGTCCGTCAGCTTCGTCGTCGTCGCATACACCTCAGCAGTCGTCTTCAGGTGGACGCAGTCGTCCTCCCAAGAAGTTCGCTACCATGCGTGACTTTGCGTCTGGGGGCGGTGATTCTTCCGATGATGACGAGAACCCCAACCAGCCTTTCTTTGCGGGTGGTGAGAAGTCCGGGTTGGCTGTGCAGAATCCCGATGATCTCAAGAAGAAGATTATTGAAAAGGCCAGCAAGTAAGCTTTGCTATAGCTCATATATAATTATCTGCAGCAGCTGACTCGAACAGAACCCAACTCCCATCCTCTGACGAACCTCAACCCCGAAGAAACCACTTCACCGGTACTGCCCGTACTCTGGGTGGTGACGATGCTCCCAGTCAAGTAATCGAAGCTCCCAGTGCCCCCGCTGCTCCTCAGCTGCCACAACGAGTTCAGCGGACCCTCCACTTCTGGTCAGATGGCTTCTCGGTCGACGATGGAGACTTGTACCGCTCGGACGATGCACGGAACGCAGAGATTCTCGACGGAATTCGACAGGGACGCGCTCCCCTTTCGATAATGAATGTGCAACGAGGCCAGGAGGTAGATGTGGAGATCCAACAGCACGAGGAAAAATACGTGAAACCCAAGCCCAAGTACCAGCCGTTCGCCGGACAGGGATTCCGACTCGGGAGCCCGACACCTGGTGTCACCGCAACACCTTCTGCTCCTGCTGCTGCTGCGCCTAGCCAGGCTACCTCCGAGCCCGCGAAGCCAAACGTGGATGAGTCGCAACCTGCTGTCACTCTGCAAATCAGACTCGGTGACGGAACACGCCTTACGTCCCGATTCAACACCACTCACACCATTGACGATGTCTACCAATTTGTCGGAGCGGCCAGCCCTATCAGCCAGTCGCGTCCGTGGGTATTGATGACTACATTCCCTAGCAATGAACTTACCGATAAAAGCGCTGTGCTTGGCGACTTGGCTGAGTTCAAGAGAGGTGGTGTGGTGGTGCAGAAGTGGCAGTAAACATCTTACGGGGATGCTTTGTTTAACGAAGAAAATATGGCACTTAGCTACAAAATTAATAGCACAAGCAGCCATTGCTATACCATAACTAAATAAAAATGAATAACGAGTCTTGAACTATGCTCCTCATAAAACTAGGATACCGCATCGGGAAAGATTGAAGATTGATAAGCAACGGAATGACGCAGAATCGCAACGACCATGAATTCTTATCTCAATCTCAACTCTTCAAAACACATGCAATAAAAAATTCGTATAGAAATGCCTCTAAATGGAGTTAAGAATGTTGTCCTGGTAAGTCCCGACTATCCTCTACACAACACTCCCTGCAAAAAAGAGAAAAAAAAGCCCCTCATTTCTTATCGATAACAATGCCAAACCTGAATCGCATCGCAACCTCGACTCCCTCTCCTCCCAATCCCCCTCAAACAAGAATAAACGCTAACAATGACTATGAAAAGGTCCTCTCAGGAAAAGGCGGTGTCGGTAAATCCTCCGTAACCCTGCAACTCGCCCTCGCTCTCTCCCTCCAAGGCAAATCCGTCGGCATCCTCGACATCGACTTGACCGGACCTTCAATCCCAAGGTTAGTCGGGCTCGAAGGCGCGAAGATTACGCAAGCACCAGGTGGTTGGTTACCGGTGACTGTTCATGATGCTGTCGACGGCACTACCTTAACAACAAGCGATGACTCTGCGCAAGGACAAGAGGTGCAGGTGCAAGAAGGAAGCGGAAGTGGAAGTGAGAGCAAACGAGGCTCCCTCCGCTGCATGTCCCTAGGCTTCCTCCTGCGCGACCGCGGTGATGCCGTAATCTGGCGCGGCCCCAAGAAAACAGCCATGATCCGGCAATTCCTCGCCGACGTGCACTGGGGCGAAACAGACTACCTCCTCGTCGACACACCGCCCGGCACAAGTGACGAACACATCGCGCTAGCCGAACAACTTCTCACGCTCTCCACGACAGATCCCCGTCTTGCGGCTGCAAACCCGTCACTTCCAAGGCTTGCTGGTGCGGTGCTGGTTACCACGCCGCAGGCGATTGCGACGTCGGATGTGAGGAAGGAGGTGAATTTTTGTGTAAAGACGCAGATTCCGACGCTGGGGGTTATTGAGAATATGTCTGGTTATGCGTGTCCATGCTGTGGGGAGGTGAGTAATTTGTTTTCGAGTGGGGGCGGGCAAGTTATGGCGCAGGAGATGGGGGTGAGGTTTCTGGGGATTGTGCCGGTGGATGTTAAGTTTGGGGTGTTGATTGAGGGGGATGCTGTGGATGGTGATAGTGATAGTGATGATGAGGGTGAACAGGAGAAGAAGAAGGTTGGACAGAAGGAACCGGACAACCGGCCGCTTGTTGAGAGATACAAGACAGATTGTTACTCATATGCGAGGTTTGAGGAGTTTGCGAAAACGTTAATATCTGGGATTGAGGCTACGGCGTGATGGTCTAAAAGTTCTTATGATTCATGATAGCATTGAATATAGTCGCAGGTTCATCATCGTTAGTCATTAGATATCTTAGGCCCTAGTCCGCAGACAGATCACGATGCAACATCGCGCGCAGCTGCACCTCCGCAGACTGTCGACAAGTCCTGGTTTGTCCATACCGTGTAATCCGACTAAAGAAGGACTGTAGCTCTCCCATCACAGACAACGATGACCCAGCACCATCATCCCCAGGCCTAGACTCCAACGCCTGATCCGCCTGTGCATCAAGAAGAACCTCCGACACAACGGCCGGCGTAACAACTCTCTGCTCAATATCTTCTCCCAACAAACCCCTCCCACAAACCTCATTCCCCTCCGCAAACTCTCTCATAACTGGCCACGGCCCCGATCCTAGCCCCCCAACCCCACCATCCAACCCAAATCCCAAATTCATCTCTGCCATCGACCTCGGTGTATCCGGCTCTGCCAACACGGACGATCCATCCCCCGCAACCGAAAACGGCGCAAAACTCATATAACACGAGTCCCCGCCGCCAACATCACCAGTCCCAGTCCCAGTCCCATCATGCTGCCGCTCCTGCTCAGAGCTCGCCTCGTCAACTGGTAAGAGGTATCCTGGCGGGGCGCGGATTTCGCCTAGTGGGGCTATATGGCTCCCGTATTCGTTTGCGAGACTTAGTTTGCTACGGCCGTATATTTCCGCGATGGCGGTTAGTGTTGGTTGGATGTTGGGGTCTATGGAGGTGAGGATGGATTCGATGCTGAAGGAGTCTGGTAGGGGAAGGGGAGAGCCGATGGGTTTGTTTTGGGGGGCTGGTGAGGGGCTGGGGTTACTGAGGAATGGTATGGATAGACAGCGTGCGGGTGGTGTTGATGTGCTTTTGGCCAGTTCTGGTTGTTTTTGGCAATGACTGTTGTTAATGTTTTCTCCTGTGTTACCGGAGTATGTCCGTACGAGGACTGGTTGGGATACTGGTCTTTGCGACTGAGGGGTCCCGGAGGGGTTATTTCGCGTAGTGCTGATTGTCTGTCGACGGGTGCGCGACCAGGGCGTTGACTGGTAACTATTCGTTTGACGAAGTGCTATGGTGCGGTATGCGCGAGCAGATTCATCGAGGGCCGGCTGATGACGAGAGTTTGATGGGCCTGCTGTTGCTGTGATTGGAGATGGATGTGGGGGAGAGAGTTGTGACCAGCGGTGGCGGGAGAAGGAGGATTGCTGCCTTCTTTCTCGGTGGTTTTGCATTTTGGTGTATAGGTTTAGATCTGACTATTAGACCAGGTCTTGTATACAAAATGTCCCTGAAACAAGACGATGCATCAACTGCCGCAGTATCACATGATTGCCAACTGTCAGGCTAACCAGATATAGTTAGTATATACATGTGCATCATAATAGGCCGATGCTATCAAGAACATTCCTAAAACAGAATCCATGAAGCTATTCACAAGCGGACAACCTACAACTACCACAAGATAACAGGCTTAATAGTCTGGCCGGACTGCATATCCCCAATAGCCCTCTCAAACTTCTCAGCCGGATAAAACTTGACAATCTTTTCTAACGGCAATCTCCCATCCTTCACCCACTGAATCATCCTCGGGATGTACTCCTGCGGATTCACGTCGCCCTCGACAACGCCCATGAATTGCTTTCCTGTGACCATGAATTCATGAATGGGGATTGACAATGTTGTGCCCTCGGGAGCAGTCCCGACTTGCATGATCTTCCCCTTGAACCCGGTCATTCGTGTTCCTTCCGCGATTAACGCGGGTACACCGGTTGTGTCTAGCGTGATGTTCGCGCCCAGGCCTCTAGTCATTCCCCGCACTGCCTCTGTTATAGCAGCGGTATTTTCTAGTCCGTTCACTTTGACGACATCAGTGGCACCAAGTTCCTTAGCTAGTTCAAGTCGCGACTCGTGTCGGTCGATTCCGATAATTTGCTTACAGCCTGCGACCTTGGCGCCCATGACTGCGCTTAGCCCGACACCACCCAGACCAAGTACCACGACCCGGTCTTCGGGTGTCGCATTACCGGCGTTGATGATAACCCCAGTTCCGGTTTGAATACCACAGCCTAGTGGCGAGAGAAGCTGCAGTTCTTCCCTTGTGTGGACGATATCAGAGACGTTGATGACAGAGTCTTCCCGGACAATAGACCAACTAGAGAAACTTGATTGCCCGAAGAATTTCCCGTAAATATTATACCCGTCTGCCTCATTGGACCGCTCCTCCTTGAACGTATAGTTCTCGGGAACAACATCAAAATTAATCGCATTAAAATTGAAGCAATGCGCCGGATGCCCCCGATGACACGGTTCACAGCTCTTGCACGCTGAAAATGACAAGATAACAGCATCACCGGGTTTAGCTCCTTGTGTCCCGGGACTGACTTCTCGAACGTATCCGGCTCCTGTCGTTTATTATTCATTAGCTTCTATCCCGAGGACCCTGTTAGAAAAGAAAATAAAGATAAAAAAAAAACCTTCATGCCCCATAATCCGGGGATAATGAACCCCAAACCCACTCTCTGTGCCCGCGAAATGCAGATCCGTCTGGCATATTCCCGACGCGACTATCTCGACGAGCAATTCTCGTTGTTGGAGGGGGCGGGGCGTGAGGTTTTGCAGTTTCCATCCGCCGGTGTTGTAGGGGCCGTAGGAGACTAGGCCGCGTTTTGTTGTTGTATTTGTATCGGGCATTTTACGTTAGAAATTGGGAGTAAAGAGGATGGGGTTTGTTAAAGTTGTTTGCTGCTCAGTATACTAGATATACACACGGTAGTGGGCATGGTGGGCATGGTCCGAGTGGAGTTCCGAGATGTCTATCCCACTCCCGCTCCGATTAATAGCCGAGATGTGGGTTTTGATCCCGCATTATTTGCACCATGGAGAAGTGGGTAATGCTTGGTCTGTTCTTTTGCTTGAAAATGTCTACATTAACGAAGGGTTGAGACATCATACAGTGAGCAGCAAAACCTATTTCACCACCAAACACACTCTTATTGTCTGAGTGCCACAGCCAAGATACTTGCCATAAAATTAGGTACATTCCAAACAATCTTCGCTTGTTATCTATAATACAGTAATCATACACTGTAGGCACGTGCGCTAAGAATCGTTGAAGCTGGATGGCTAATGGGCTTGTATGCTAGTTAGGACTGAGACCAATCAGGAGAAAACAACCGATTACGGAAGATATATATTCATAAAATGAATGTATGGAGGTCCAAAGTGCTGTTTAATTAATGGAATGGCCTATTTTATATGGCCAGAGCAATGTACTGAATACGGAAAGAAAATGTGTTGCGGTAGTAGGGTCAGAAACATAGCTGTTCCATGGAACGAAGACAGCGTTGTAATTAGTCCATAGAAATAGGCAGAGTGACGGAAATCCTTGCTTCAGCATCCACATACAGCAGCGCGGAGGTACTATGAAGAGCTCAAGCAGGAGAGTGGTACAAAAACCTCATTTGAATATATTCATATTGGTAGTGCTTTTTATCGCTAAGATTAAGTGTGGAGAGATAATCTCCACGAGGCAACCCAAAGAATATTTGCATTTTGTGAGCGCAAAAACACAACACCATTGAAATGGCAGATGGCAACGCATAACAAAAATCTCGAAAGCAGAAGACAAGTCACTGTTGTTAGGGTTATGAGCTCAAGTTGTCTTAACCTAAAGCTAACCTCTATTGTGCAAGAAGGAATCGTTGAAGAGACAAACAGAGCAGAGGTGGAAGTAATCTTTTATGGTCGTACAGAAATGAGGCTCCAAGTAGTGTTATCAGCAATCCCTCGCGGAAGTCAGGAGTTGACCAAAGGGGTCAATGATAGTCTTCGTATGTTAGGGGGTCGTACGAAGGTTGTTGATAGCTGTTTCAGACCCCTTGTTGGCTGCGTTCTGTGCTGGCCCTAGCCAAACTGCCATCCTTTGGGTTCGTACGAGAACCACATAACAACTGTTTACTCAATAACACAGGAAATGACAAGAAAGTGGCAACTACATTCAGTACCTCGGTATAGAAACCTGTCGAAATATAGTATATTCTACAGCTAAAAAAGCAAAGTATAAATTCCCTTGCCTTCCAAGACCCTCCTTATAAAAGGATATCAGAATATAGGAGCGAGGGTCAGTATTTTTTATGTGCATTGGTTAAGTAAAACATGAGATAAAAGAAGCTCTTTCTGATACATGGCCAAGAGCAAGGATACCATCTTTCATTGCTAAGCAATTTGGACAGTACTCTAGAGGAAGCCATAACATCTTTTTACCCTGAAGGCATATCCACTGGTTTCCATGAATAGATAGAACAGCATTGGTCTTTGACCAGAGCCAATGGGAGTGGCCCTCGAGGGACTGCCGCAGCTCACCCGTGGTGAGATCCCAGGGCTTAATAGTGCTGTCTGTCAGGGTGCGGGGTCAGGTACAGATATATTAGGAACTGACGAACAGGTTAAGCTACAGGTCAGGCTATCTACAGATACATAGACAAGACGCAGCTCTTCGAGCTGCGATAGGATCAGCGCCAGGCACAGATAGATATCTCTGTCGGAATCACAGCTTAGTCAGGGTCGAAAGTACGTATCGAGGTGGATACAGTTGAGGCCCCCCGACCGTAGACCTCCCAAATTGACTGCGGTTGCCGCACCTCGACATCGTATTCTGGCATGACATGAAGTATCATTTTGTTGAACTCTGGGAATCTTGTAGCCGCACGAGCATTGCAGCCTGAGGGATCAGGCATAAATCGGTACCAAAGCATCGACAGTTCTGGATAAGGGCTCGCTATCGGCACACCATCGAGACGTCAGGTACAAATAGACTATGGCGCTCATAGATAGAGAATCAAGCGATTCGTTCATTTTACCCTACATAAAACCTTCTCTACCTACAGGTATATCCACGTTAGCGATCCGGTATCGATTCGTAGCCGAAACGGTCGTTTGATCATATAAATGCCTAGGCCCTACACTCTAGCGTTACACAAATTTAGATAAAAGAATAGAATCTCTATATCTGTGAACACTACAGCGGCTATATATCACCTAATATTGCCTTTCAATGCTGTAGGGGATGGGCGAAGTCAATCTCGAACACTGAATGGGAAACATGGTTCCCAAAGTTAACGTAACCCTAGTCCATCCAGGTTTTCCTGATCTCGTCTGGCTGGTATCAATATGCGGGTGATTTTGGGCACCACACTAGTCTGCTATCGTAGCTTACACGCCTGTAGGCAGCTGTTAACTTCCGTGCATAACCGAAACCGTTGTACGTATTCTTGCTGTCTCAAAGTAGGTACGTACAGATATGATGATGGATGATAGAATTGGGGGACCATGCAGCCAGCATCCTTGGACTACGGGCAGCACATACATGAGTTATGTACCTTTTTTCATTCATTTCGTTTATTTGAACTTCGGTTGCAACGATCTCCTTTAACAGCTAGTTAATAACCGACAAATTATTTATAAATAAGCTCTTATGCTTAATAGTTTTCTCAATCGCAGTTCTTTCTTCATTCATACCGAATAGTGCCTAAGATATTCTTCCGAACTATTATAGTTGACAACGGAATATAGCCAGTTAATCATCATCCTCCTCAGACACATGGACAACTACGCCCTCAATGCTTTTCAATCGTTCAATACCGTATTCATCGAGGCTGAAGTTGAGTCAGAATTTAGGACCAGCCCATTCATAAGATATATAGAAACAATAGTATTGTTGGAGGGGGCCGTACTCAGCGCCAAAAATAATTGGAGGCAATGACTTGGTTGAGGGGTATTCGTCGGTTCCAGTTAATTCCTCAAGTATCCTGAGATTGTCAGCCATAGCATATTCTAAGAAGTCCCTAGGACGTTTCTGCTCCAACATACTTGTTAACCTCCTCATAATTGTCTTCCCATGCTTCTACACCCTCAAAAGTGATCTGAACAAACTATAGGTAATTTAGTATAAATAACAGTTGTCAGGGTCGTATTATATCTAACCTACCTTAGGCATTGTCAAATAATAGGAGAGTTATTGAATATAATATTCAGAAATCTGTGTGGTACTGCCTTGATAATTGTTGACTCTCGAGAAATTGTATTTGTGGGCTGATGGTATAGGAATATATAATTCTATACTGCAGATGTGGCTGGCTGGGGAATCTGCACATACACCTCATCATGCATATCATCATATGGCCTCAGCTTTGCCTCACCCGGTCACGCAACTCATCATTTATTCATGGGCAACTATTGGCAGAACCCATGACAATTGTCCAGCTGAAGCCCCACAAATTAGCTGCAGTTCAGTGGATTACATGCGTCATTTTACAGAGACACTGTTACAGACCTAGCCACATCAGCTTCACATGACTATGCGGAAGTCAAGGCAGAATCATTGGATAGCAGGTTGCGATGGAAATGCAGAAAGGAACAAGGATCAAGTTGATACCTGGTTCGGATTCGGATTCGGATTCGGATTCGGATTAACTCATACCCGTCCCAGCCAATCTTAATCCATGGCTATGCGGGAAACTGCCCCTCCGGCTGTAAGCCGCCGGGGTAGTTTTTGATACCTATTTACATCTATGGTGTGTGCTTTTCTTGAGGGCTCGGCTCCTCTCAGATTCATGAGAATCCGGGGCTCCCCGGGTCCTCTTTGTTTGCTATGTACCCAAAGACCTCAATGCTTCGCCTAACTTATTTCTTCCTCGTTTGCGGCCCCGAATTGCCCAAGGAGCCTGGTTCTCAGCATGAATTTG